GCTTTTACTATGATTGCTGTTTTTCCCCTTATTATGAGTTTGTGTATGCAGCTGAAGGCTGATGGTGAGGAAGCAACAAGAAGATTCGAGGCAATCGTCCAGCTAATGAATGAAGAAATTGTCCGATTTCAAGAACAAAAGACACTGGATATGGGGCTTGCTTTTCATGAATTTGCTAAGGGACAAGCACATTTAGCAAATGGTATTGCTGAAGCCTGGCGGAGTCTTCTTCCAAAGCTTGAAGCTTGTGCTTCCTCATAGCGAAACTGGGAAAGAGCCGCCAAGATAACCACACACTAGATTGATGACAACTGCGAAGATGACTGAGGCACCTCTTGGTGTGAGATGGATTATGATTTGTTGAGTGTGTTCTGCCTCTCTATTGTTGTAAGAATTATAGGATAATTTCATTTTGTGACATGTACAGATCCTGAAGTAGGGCAGAAAAAATTAGAGTTGTGGAGCACATATAGAACGCAGTGATGAATAAAAGGTTAATTTTAGTGAGGAACTCAAAGATTCACCAAGCAAATCCTTTGAAGGCCTGCTCCTGCTATGCACTAGCTTTTGAATCCATGTAAATGTCCCAGATATGGGGTGGTATAATGTGTGCGTAATGTTTTGGGGCATTCGTTGAACTAAACTCCAGTGTTGTAAAGGGCTGAAGTATTTCATGATTTCTATCAAAACACTAAATGGTAAATGCCGAGGAGATGGATGCGTCCTAATTCTGTTGATTCCAATTTACCTTTGGTGTTCATTTTATTTTCGACTTTTAACTGACAGATTTGGATAGGATGTAAAAATAAATAGTTTAAAAGGAAAAAAAAAAAAGAGTACTAGATTGAATGTACACATTCCTCTTGCTAACAAACAAGTAATGAACATACCTGCAGGAGAAATGGGTTCCGGAAGGAAGCGTAAATGAGGGTGAAGTGTAAATGAGGGTTCGAGAAGAAAGTGTAAATGAGACATGTCGAATTCGAGCTCTTTCACTTGAAAAAGATAATGAATTTAACATATCTGTGAGTGGTAATAGAATGAAGAAAAATATCATCCATTGAACATATACATGTTACATTCCTGTAAGTGGTAACAATAATAGAATCAAATAGAATGTAAGAAAAATATCACACTGAGGAGCACATCCTATCCAATTCCAGTCCTTGTATTTTCGATGGTATATGTAAGCGCTTCCTATCTGTCTCCTGACTCCTGAGTCCTGAATCCTGATTCTCCTCTGGCCCAAACCCACCTCCCCAGAAGCCATGGTTAGTAACGCAAGCGTAACTGGTAGACATCTCTTTCCCTTAACGCAAGCTTTTCACGCGACAAAATGTCTGTTCCGCCAATCAATTCTGTGTCCTCCACCAGCAATTGGCTCCCGGGACAAATATAATCTATTAATCCACGCTCGTTCATTTTCAAGCAAAAGGACTCTGCGTAAGGCCTTGAAGGCAACCACGGGAAACAACGCCATATCATCCGCCAATAGTTACGAGGACGGCGTGTCGTTAGGAACCATGAAGCTCCCAGTAGATACTGACCTTGCAAAATTCGAAACCTTGCTTTTTCAGGTAAATGCATACGGATGTCTTGATGTTTTTGGACTCTTTTTAACTTTGTGTAAGTTTCCCAAGTGTCTCGACATACTACGTTGTGGCTTTTCTTGAAATTTGGTATCCACTCACTCCTTCTGAGTAAAAGGCATCGTCTTGAAGCTACAAAACTGGATTTTCTTGCTTAACTTAATGGGGAGTCCTTTTCGTGCTGTTTTAGGCTTTATCTCGAACAACAAGATGAGTACGATGAGTGCTTGTTAATTTGATAAATTGGTCACACCTTTTAATTAATAACCAGGTGATTGACTTGAATAGTTGGATTACACCTCTTACCGTTCGAAACTTGTGTTTTTGCGGTCTATCCTCGTCTAGTTGAGCCCTATGAAATAAGAGTTAACTATGATTTGTTGTTTTGTTTCGATGGTACCCGTGTAAGTTATTGATGCAGGCATGCCAAAATCTTGGAATTTATCAAATACAACTTTTTCTCCAATTGAGATCAATAAATTGGATAAAGATGTAGACATACTACCATGCTGGTAGGAACTTTGCATTGAGCTGTGATAAAGGATCCAGCAATTAGACAATAATTATGTTGATCATGAACGGAAACACCTATAAACTTGACAATAGTAGTGCAGCTTAGGATGCTTAATTTTCATTGGGCGTCACTGGGCTTTTAGTGTGTTTTAGTAAATTCCCAACACACAAACACTAAGCTAGGTGTGTTTTACCTTCCAATTGTATATAAGGTATAGGTAAATTGACAAATGGTATGGGGAATGAACTTGTGTTCCAGGCATTCTCATTTTCTGCTCAAACTTTCCTTTTCGGCCACTAAGCAAGACCATCTCGATTCATCTAAGTTGCACCTCAGCACAAATTTGTCTTATTGTATCACTGAAACGATCCTCACAAGTCAAACAGATACAAGTTTGCCGTGTACCTGCTTATTTGCTTCATTATCTTTGTCAGAACCTTTTCTCTTTTATTCTAATGTCATCACATAATACTTTTCTTTCACTGCAGTGTTGACCCCTCTTTATCATTATTATGCATCTTGAACTTGTTATTGACCAATTGTTTCTCGTGCTTGGACTTGACAGTGGGGGAACAGTCTCTGCCAAGGTGCCAATTTACCACTACCAGTACCTCTTAAGGTTCATGCTTTTTGATTTTTGGTCAATGTATCATCTCACATGCTGTTTTAAGTGAATCATACTGAAACTATGCTAACAAAGCAATATATCCTCACTTGACTTGTCCATTTAGTACCAAATGCGAATCCTTTAGGCTTCCCCTCTCTTATTTCAAGAGTACCATCTAGGTTGCTGCCAGCAGCAAAACAAAATTCTTGATTTACATGACGACCTGGTCCTGCTGTATCCTTCTTTAGTTGTATAATCTGAGTCAGAACTGAGCGGTGTTCGTAAAAGGCTTTTATCCTAGCTTCAAAGGCCAAACTTGACCTCTGCCAATGCTCAGGAGATGCACAGCAGAAGACAACTCTCATAAATTTCAGTCCGGGAAAAATGAGGAAAAGTATTGCTGGGCAAGGCTAGTAACCTACTGTTAAGCATTGGCAATTCAGCAAAAATGTTATGGTTTGGATGGCAAGAGGGGCAGGGTAGTGTAAAGTGCATGACCTTGATGATCATGGGAAATTCCTTACCTACTGGGGCAAAATCTTGTCTTATGATGTTGTGAACATTAGACAGGTAGCTGGCACATATATAACAGGCTACACTGCTGTTATTCTTGGATACTGATTTTGAATGGGCTAATGTTGTCCTAAAAGTTATTTGATATATCCTTGGTCATATTGAAACAGGAGGGTGATTGTGAAACTTTATGGGAGGCGGCGTCCGTCTATGAATGGCTTAGTTCTTATTTATGCAATTTATGTGCAGGTTGACAAAATTGCAGGTGGAGCTAGACTTGGCTTTATTACCATTGGAGACGGGAAAACCGAAGTGCTAGTCTACATAGATTGCTTAGTTTTTCCAGCCACTGATAGTTCAGGTCCAATTTTTCGGGCCATAAGGAATGGACCTTTGAAAGCTCAGTCACCTCCTGGAGAGCCAAGAATCATGAGAAGCCTTCTAGCAGCTCTTCAAAAATCAGTGGAAATTGCCAGAGTATAAACTTTAACTAATGCTGTTTAGATAGACTACAAATTTACAATTACCTCTGAATGGATATTACTATATGCCAGACTAAATAGCCATGCATTACCGCATTGGTAGAAGGAATGTACCTTGTTACATTGCGCCATCTTCATACTTGCTTTCCAGATTTATGTTTTCATGTTAAAGACTCTAGTCAATGCAATTATACGTTAACCTTCATGTGTACATGCTAGTTGACATAATCCTCTGTCATCCTTAGCTTCACAAGATCCGACTTGTGGGGCTGGAGTGAAGGGAGATGAGATGCAAAGAGATATACTACTGTATTATCATCCTTCACCAATTTCTATTAGTCTATTTCTTTTCGTAAATGGTATTAATGGCCGCCGATAAGTTCTCGCTCGGATTGGATCGTGTAAATGACTACGAAAGCCGAATGAGGAGATGCAATGGTCTGAGGTCCCTTCCACTTTTAACAGTTGGGAAATAGTCTTTGCCAAGGTGCTATCGTGTTTAGACTAGTGGGTGCGTCTTTTAGAAGAAAGTAAATAACAAAAAAGACGGAATAAAAATTAATTAGAAAGTTTTTTTTTTAAGGTAACGTAGTGTTCATTAATTTTTAAAATAACAAATAATGACGCTTTTTTTTTTAAAAAAAAAAACGTCAAACTCTTTATTATATTAAACAGATAAAAAGACGAATAAATTTTTTTATACACTGATAGTATATACACTAGCGAGTTTAGATACATGCCAATAAGTAAAATTTGATATTTAAATTTAAATTCAGATGACGTGCCATTCAACCAATCCCGTCAGGCAGTGCAAGAAAGATTTGATTAATTCTAAAAAGATGACGGCATTCATCATATTTATATTTAATCCTCATCCCCTGGCCCCGCTTAAATAATTTAATTCTGGTCCCAGTGCTGGCTCATTTAAGCCTTACCCCTACCCTGTGTTCCTAACAATCTTACATTGGCTTTATCTTTCGCAAAATTCATTTATTGGAAGTATGTATTTTCACGTGAACAAATGAAATAAGATATTGAAACACAGTATGAGGAAATTACGTTAAGATTACAAACTATTTGAAAAAAAATGGATAACTTATATAATAAGCATTGAAGAACATATATTTACTTATCTATGTACACATATACATATTGTACATATTTGTACATATTTTACTTATTTATGTACATAATATACCCGTGAATTGTATATAAAATTTATAGATAAATATGATGCAGGGCGAGGATAAATTTATAGATGTACTATGCGGGGCTGGAGCGGGCCTTACTCTGCCATCTGAAGCCACCCTGAAAGTTTTGGGCTGGCCGCATGTGCATAACCGAAATTGAAAAGCTTGTAACTTGCAACTCCATTCATGTGGTCAAAGAGGTTTGGGTGACTTGCCGGCTTCTGTAGCAACATAATGGATGGATTCCTGTCGTCTCCATCTGGATTCTTCTGAGATGCCATACCCACACTCCTCTGCGTACAGACAAAGCCCCACACCCTTCATCCCTAATCCCCCTTTCCTCTTGCGCAATCTTCTTCTGTGTCAGGCATTATTAATTTGTTGTAAATGAAATCAGGAAAATCATTGTAGAGTGGCTTGGGGAAGATATGGGTTCTTCTTCGTGTCTATACTCTTTGGTGCCATCACTGCATCCTTCACATGTTAATTTCTCCAAGAACCTTAGTTTCTTGAGCTCTTCCAGAGTTGCAAGACCCCAAGGCGGAGCTTTGCTCAACAAGTCTTCCACACCTCAAAGAATAGTATGTTCCTCTACAGATGATCCCAATTCTATGCCTTCTGGGGAGAATATCCCAAGGTTGATGTCTCCAATTTCTCAACTTTCTATACCATTTTTTGTATGGGCTTCTTTGGGTGAGGGTATGATTTCTGAATATTATGGATGTCTTTTTATTCATGTTTGGATTGTAGGATTTGGAAGCTCTAATTTCATACCGATTTAGATAAGCTTTTCTTCGTATATAATAACGTTTCTTTTGGGACGGGTGCTAATTGGTGTTTTGTCTCGCAAAGACCTTTATTTTTAAAGAAGAGTGAGACTGCCTACTGGTTGTATTGGTCAATATGGCTGGCTCTGTATATATTCAACTTTTCTCAGATTATTAAAATGTTTTCTTCATATTCACAGCAGTTTCTGCATTATAGAAGGGCCAGAAACAGTTGAGGATTTTGTACAAATGCAGCTGCAGGAGATACAAGAGAACATTAGGAGCAGGCGCAATAAAATCTTTCTCCTCATGGAGGAGGTTTGTTTTCTCCTTGCTTTCAGAAAGGGAATAGTATATTCTCTAGTACAATTTGCAAATTTTAATCATTCGATGTTTGTAGGAAATGATCTGCTAAGCTTTTTCTCATACATGTAGGTACGGAGGTTAAGAGTACAACAACACATAAAGAGCATAAAAGTTTCTGATGGGACGGGTGAACAGGAAAATGAGATGCCTGATATCCCCTCATCAATTCCTTTTCTCCCCCATGTGGTGATTCTCTGAAATTTATCTGTGCTTTTTAAGTATGAATTCCCTGAGGGATGAAACTCAACGCATTTATGCTTAGGCAAACAGGATTGAAGCTTTTTATGTCGGGAAAGGAATATCAGCTTTAGTCAATAGATGTCTAGGTTGAAATTTGATGAAGCATATAATCCCTGCTGATAATCCTTAGCTGTATAACAGAAACAGATATGTACTCGTTTCTACTAACTCTACAGTTTTTGTGAGCTATTGTAATTAATCCTCTCTATATCTTCACAATTGCAACTTTAGTCACAAGTAGCTCAATGCATGATTTGACATGTGCATTATGGCATTAGCCTCTATAACCAGGTCATGATGGACGCAGATGCACTTTAAAGAGATTTTGTCTACTATTTTCTTGTTCTATATCATTCTTCTTGATTGAGTCCTAGATTGTTGTTTTTCTCTTCTTTGTCATGCTGTCCAATACTAACTTAGGAATACATCTTTTTCCTTTGATGTAGACGCCAAAGACGCTGAAGCAGCTCTATCTAACAAGTTTTTCATTTGTATCTGGAATAATTGTCTTTGGGGGGCTTATTGCACCAACTGTGAGCCTTCTCATCCACAAACTACTGTATATGCTGTTGCTATTGTGCAAAACTTATACCATTTGTATTATCTGTCTTGCTTTGGTTCGTTCTTATGAAAAAAAGGTCTAATATCTGAAAGCAATAAGAATGACCTCTTGCTTGATGTGCTTTCTACTGGATTTACTTGAAGTTAGACATAATCTAAAAACTGCACAGGTCTGATTGTCTAATATAGATTTATACACCATTTCAGGTGTATTTGATCAGACTGATCAAACTAATTGTGCTCGTGTATGATGGCTTGTAAGAATTAGTTTGAAAGTACAATTGTCTATTTTCTTGAAGGTAGTTCTACAATTATGCTGCATATTGTTCTTGTCCATCTCAGAAACAGGACAGATTCACAATATTAGAGAGCTTAAGATGAAGTTGTTAGTTTTGGATGTAAGATTGCAACCAATTTTCCTGCTGGGAAGGTATAATATGAACAAAAGTTGATGCATGCATGTACAGTGGATAGAGATTATAAAAAAAGTGGAAGTCAACTGTATTCTAAGACCTGAATGATTCGACGAATTCACCTGTGCTACTTGCATAGTACTACATTATTGTTTTGCGACTTATGGAGCAGTTTCACATGGCAGTTGGAGCTGAAATTAGGTTTGGGTGGCACGTCATATGAAGATTTCATCCACACTTTGCATTTGCCTATGCAATTAAGGTTACAATAATACAAAAATTATATGTCAGGAATCAAAAGTTTCTTAATAATATCTCTGTACATTATTTTAGCAGCATTCTTTGGTTGGCAGTTGCTCTGCCATATACAGTTCATTTGGTGGATGTTTTGAATAATCTTCTCCTTGTATATTCAGTCAGGTCGATCCAATAGTGGCATCCTTTTCAGGAGGCGCAGTGGGGGTTATTTCTGCTTTGATGTAATAGAAGTGAACAATGTTGAGCAACAAGAGAAGAAAAGATGCAAGTATTGCCATGGAAGTGGTAAGCACAAAAACTTGTGAAGGCTTCTTTCTGGCCTTTCAAAAACTCCCCTTCCACCCAAGACCTGGTATCTTGTTAAATGAATATTTTCTTTTTCGTAAATAGCTCTTTATTAACCGCTAAGGCTTAGAGAAGCCATGGTTTCTTTTTCTAAACAATTTCCAGGTTAATGTCAATTGAAAACATTCTAATTTGGTGTAATGAAATATGCTAAGATATCTCTAATTGAATTACAACTGTTCATTTGCTTTTTTACTTTGGTTTGCAAAATGTATTTGAATGCTATGCTATGTTACAGTTACATTGTTCTGCAATTAATTTTATTTTCGATATCTGATCGTTGTTAGCCATTACTTCTCTGTCTGCACTGTAATGTCAAAAGGATACTTGGCATGCGCCCGTTGTTCTGCTAGTGGTACGTGCTTAAAATTCGAACCCATCTCGACTTGCAGTGATTCCATCCGCCAATTGCATGGACCAACTACTCAGAGGTGTCAAAATTGCTCAGGCTCAGGAAAGGTATGTGACTTGTTAATTGCATAATTTGTGAACATCGGTGAATATTCAACACACCTCTCGCAAAGTGAAATTTACCTAGCTAAAAAAGACTATGACCTATCTTGTGTTTTTTGGCATCAGATCATGCTGCTTATTCTGTTGGAAATTAGCCTTGGCACCGCAGAATGTTGACATATATATATATATATATATATATATATATATATATATATTTTACACTGAATGCTGATTGCATGCTTTCAGTTGATTTCCAGCTCCTTAAAATCTATCTGCCATTTTTGCTGACTCCTTGTCTCTTTGATAGGTGATGTGCCCGACATGCCTTTGCACTGGGATGGCCATGGCAAGTGAACATGACCCTCGAATAGATCCCTTCGATTAAGGGCAGTCCTCTGAGCAAACGGGCTTGGATGATATCAGAAGTTGAAATGGAAGATGAAGTTCAACCAGAGGTCCTGTGGAAATGGGAATTTGAAAGTTGATCAAAATGTCGAAGTATTGATTACTTTCTGGACAAATCCGACATCAATATAAAATGTTCAAGTTGGTTAATTTGTCCCATTTTGAAAAGTTAAAAAATACACGACGATTTATTACTATATATCTTAGAAAGGCGACGATACTATTCTTCTGCATGATATTCTTTTTTTTTGTCAGTAACGATACATTTGTAAAACTTACTCTATTCTACTCTAGGGAGAGGGGGAGTCTAAGGAGACTGTGGTAGGAAGCTAGTGGATATACAGATCCAACTAGATCAAGGAAATGTTATGGCATAATTCTTAAATTTTTTTTGCTCCAGGTAAAGTTTGAACTCTTACCTAACCTCCTTGGTGGCCACTGAGCCGTTGATCCAGTGGTTCTGCATGAGATTCAGCCCAGTTTGCTGCCCGTTCGCTTGCAAATATTTGGGGAAAGGCTTAAATAAAGAATTTAGTTGTATGCATTTGCACCTCGGAATTTGATTTCTAGGAAGAAAAGAGACTGGCGTACAAGTATATGCTTCTTCTGAAGCTGTCTTTTCCAAGCTTAGCATTTGGCCACAGAAAAAAAAAAAAACTAGAAATAAAATGAAAAGTAAGCCGTTATCCAAACTAGTTGAAGATGACAAAAATGTACTATTTTTTCATCCAAGAAATAAAAATGATAAAGTGCAATCAACACAGTTTTATTATTTAGATGGGATAATTTCAGAAATCTTTCTGATAATTTCATTGACCTCCCCTGAGGTTTCCACAATTACACAAACCTCCCTTGGCGGAACTTGGGACCCAATTGCTGACATCATATAATGCGAAATTACTATTATACCCAAGACATTTTGTGTTATTATAGGACTAAAATCTGATAAATAAGTCATTAGGGTCAAATTTGAACTTTCAATTTCATTAACCAACTTAACAGTTGGAATCTTGCTAATAAAAATTGTATAACCAACTGGCACCAATACTTTGTTCATGTAATGGATGAAAGTCATAAAAACTGGTATGTATGAGCAATATCTTTTTTTACTTTCACATATTTAATTTATGTTAAATATAAAATCTACCAGTTTCTTTTTCGTAAAAATATTAGTGTAACACTTTTTAAATTTTAGTTACAAACATTTATGTATTTAACAGAAATTAAATGATTCAGAGTAAAATGCCCTTAAAGAGCCAATACTTTGTTCATGTAATGGAAGAAAGTCATAAAGAGCTAGTATGTTATGAGCAATATCTTTTTCATTTTCACATATTTAATTTATGTTAAATACAAAATCTACCAGTTTTTCTTTCGTAAAAATATTAGTGTAACACTTTTTCAATTTTAGTTACAAGCATTTGTGTATTTAACAGAAATTAAATGATTCAGAGTAAAATGCTCTTAAAGAGCGATACTTTGTTCATGTAATGGAAGAAAGTCATAAAGAACTGGTATGTTATGTGCAATATCTTTTTTTACTTTGACATATTTAATTTATGTTAAATACAAAATCTACCAGTTTCCTTTCATAAATATATTAGTGGAACACTTTTCAAATTTTAGTTACAAACATTTATGTATTTAACAGAAATTAAATGATTCAGAGTAAAATGCCCTTAAAGAACCGATATTTTGTTCATGTAATGGAAAAAAGTCATAAAGAGTTAATACTTTATGGACCATTTTTAAAAAAAATATATTTAATTTATATTAAATAGATAACCTACCAGTTTCTTTTTGTAAGAATATTACTGTAACACTTTTTAAATTTTATTTACAAACATCGATGTGTTTATCATAAATTAAATGTTTGAAAGTACAATGCCCATAAAGAGCTGGTATTTTGAATTGGTAATACTCATTTGCCTATAAACTACACCTCTTGAAATTTATTAATCTCGCACGGGGCGGGTGTCTGCCCAATTGCTATCCCTACAAATGTAATTGGTTTTGGTGTTATTTAGTAGGGGTTTTAGTGGAAATGTACACACAAGTATCGCCTATTGAATGAGATAAGATTTAAATTTTTGATATGCACATATCAGTTTATGTGCGTGTCTTGGGCTGTAAATTTTTGTTATGTTGATTCGGTAGAACTGCGGTAGAACCATTTAACTGTAAAATGTCTTCGTTTAACTGTAAAGTATCGCCCATTGGGGTTGTTTGGATTGTAAGTTATTTGGGATATTTTTACTGTAGCATTTTTATGATGTGATATATGTGAGATAAAAAGGTAATTGGGAAGATAAAAAGGTGCGTTGGAAATTGTAATGATGATGTAAGCAGATATAATTTGACAAATAATGCTCAATCCAAACAAACCATATTTAACTGCTTTCTCAATAAATATTCCCAATATTATACATTTAACTGCATTTATTTTACATTATAATTGTAATTGCATTTATTTAACTGCTTTCTCAATTATAATCCCAGTATTATATATAAATTTTTCATGAAAAGGGTATTTTCAAAACTATTATTAATCTTGATGACAATTGGATATAATAAAGGAAATTTCTTAGTCTACTTCATTAGCATTTTGTCTCTGGTACTGGTAGATGATGTACGTAGCTTTACAAAAAATAGCAGCAGCTGTTACTACAGCTTTGTGCAAGTATAAATGGTCAATCCCCACCTTTCTCCTTATTTCACTAATATCCCTCATTTTTTCTAATTTATTTTTGGTTTTTATTAGTTTTCATTATTTCACTAATATAACTTGTACACTTACCTCAGGGGCATTTATGGGAACAAATTTCCCTCTCTTTCCTATAAATACTTTTTTATGTTTACTTTTGATATCATGAGCTGATTTTGTTACAAAATCCTAAACCTCAAGGGAGGTTAGTGTAATTGTGAAAACCTCAGGGGAGGTCAATAAAATTTTTAGAAACCTCAGGGGAGATTTCTGAAATTATTCCTATTTAGATACACTTTTGGTGCGCATCACAGGGTTCGCAACCCCATGTTGGAGCAATTTGAGCCATGGCGTTTGCACACTGTAATATCTTAAAATTTCTTTAGAACACAGATACAAATAGACAGTTTGGCCGAGTGGTCTAAGGCGCCAGATTTAGGCTCTGGTCCGAAAGGGCGTGGGTTCAAATCCCACAGCTGTCAACATTTTTGCACCAGTACTCTTTGATATTCAGAGATGTGGCACTGAAACGACATCGTCTTGACGGTACCATTCTTCCGTCCTCTGGGGTCTCTTTCTTCTCTTCTTCTCGTCCCTTCCAAGCTTCCACCACGATACTGTCTCCATTCTTAGTTCCCATCTTCTTTAATTTTCCTATTCAACAGCGCCCCACCAGCTCTAAGCCCCATCAATGTCTAGAACTCTATCTCTAGTAACCAAGCCCGGTTCAAAACTCCTGAACCGTTCCTAATCTTGCCGGGCCCCAACCCGATCCTTCACCAGTCCAGCAGGACCCTCGAACCCTAGCTTTCGAAGAAGTTTTATCCTCCCCAGACAAGCCCTACACTTATACAGCTTTCATACTTCACGGCCTCTTAGGCTCCGGTCGCAACTGGCGCTCCTTCTCCCGTTCCTTCGCTTCCTCTCTTTCAGGTACATTTACGAATGTCTATCGGACATTGCATTACAACCATGTGATCTGAGCTAATTATTTTCCGCTTTTGTCTTTGGGGTGTTTTTGAATTTGAGATAGGATGGAGGATGGTGATGGTGGATTTGAGGAATCACGGGAAGTCGGCCGAGATAACAGGACTGTCGCCACCGCATACTATAGGAGTGCGGCTCGAGATTTGGCTGATTTGGTGAAGTCAAAAGGATGGGATTGGCCTGATGTGGTTATAGGGCACTCCTTGGGTGGCAAGTGGCCTTGGATTTCGCTCGGAGTTGTGCTCGTGGTGATTATGGGAACATGCTTGTTTGCCCAAGCAGGTCATTTTCCGAGTATCCTGTTCCATTGATAATTCGTCTGCTGTCTTTGGTTGTTAATCACTCTGGGATTGTGGCATGCTTTTTTCTTCACTCTGTTACTGTGCCCACAGTTGCTTGTCATTTTACTGAAATACTTGCTCCTATTATCGTTGTCCCTTTTGTGCATGAAAGCCTGAACTGCATGTGTTATTAAGTAGGATGTACGTTTTGATAGCCCAATGATAGTGTCCCTTTACCAGTCCCAGTGATAGGCAATTTGTTGTGCGTTCAGTTGCCTACTTTTTCGAATTTTATAGAACTCCGGTTTTTAAATTTCCTTGACTGGAATCTATTGTAACTTCTGATAAATTATGAGTACTGCCGAGCTTCTGTATCATCTTGGCTGGTTATTTTTCGAATTTTAATGTTCTGCTCCACACCTCAATTAGTGTTGAAGAGTAAAAGTGTATGAACAACGTGACTACTACAAACAAGCTAGCTTTAATTCTCTCCCAAAGATGCTTTTAAGGATACCATACCTCATTAAATCAATTGTAAAGGTTTTTGCAACTCATTCTTGTATACCTGCAATGCAAGCGTTCATATTGAATTTAAATTTTTGCCACCTCAGATACTTGTCAATTGAGTACTTGTACTTTACTCGTATCTGTAACAATTTATGGTTCACTCATGCATGAGACTCCTGATGCAGAGCAGTTATGGGTACTTGACTCAGTCCCTGGAAAAGTAGACCCTGAGGAAAGTGATGGAGAAGTGGAGCAAGTATTGCAGACCTTGCAATGTCTACCTTCATCAATTCCATCTCGAAAGTATGTCGATTTCCCCCTCTGATGATTTTTTTTGTTTCCTATATGCATACTTTATTGTGCACTACGCCAAGTCTCAGATTGTTGAGACAGGAATTGTGCACTCATGTTATGTGAATATTTCCTGTGGTATCTTTTGTGATTAGCTGACAATTTAAGTGTCTTCAGTTTTACTCAACCTGGTTAAAGGTACTCTATTACTGCTTTACCTGGTTAAAGGCAATCTATTTTTGCTTTATGGCATGCTTCTTGGAAAAGCTGATCTTTTGAACTTTATTTCATTAGAACCGATAAACCTATCAGGTACAGCCTTTAAAAAAATATACAACAATTTTAGTTTCAATTTCTATAGCAGGTAAAATTCGACAACTACATAGATTTATTTATTTTTTTTTTTGAGACAAGCAACTGCATGGCTGTGAAGTTCTGTGCTTTATCTCTCACACATCAGTATTCTTTTGCCTTATTCTTCCTCTTCTATTCGGGTTATGCTTACTTAACATGCCATTCTGTCGGGAATCATCTTCTTAGATGGTTGTGGATCAATGATGAAGCATGGGTTTTCAAAGGCATTGTCAGAATGGATTGGAAGCAATCTGAAGAGATCCGGAGACCAAGAGACATGGGCATTTAATCTTGAGGTGCAATCCAGATGTTTAATTCTTATAGGTACACTAATCTGCTGCTTGTTATGATTATAGATGAAAATTATTGCTCACTGTCTGACCACTGCCAAAGAAAAACTTTAGGACAAAAATTTCATAATCTGAAAGTAAGAAGAAAATATGTTTTATTGTACATTTATCGATCCGGGAGGGGAAAATAAGAAGAAAGAGTTACCAGTTGTAAGTGGAACTCATTGTTGAATAAATAAAATTTCATCAGGGAAACAGATTATTGGTCTCTGTTGGACGAACCTCCCAAAGGGATGGAGATAGCAATCGTCCGGGCTGAGAACAGTGACAGATGGATGCAAGACACCATTCAGCGCATTCAAAGGCTTGCTGCTAAAAGAGTTGATGAAGCTGATGGGAAAGTCTCTTATCATGTTCTTTCCAAATCAGGGCACTGGGTTCATGTGGATAATCCAAAGGGCCTTCTTCAGATTGTGACTCCTAAACTTGCATCTATAACTTAGTTGCATTTTGTCAAGCTTTGAGGTTTTTCGCATGGAAAGCTTTCCTGCTTTTCCACCATTCAAGAAATATAAACAATCAATATGCCCCACAGAAAAAGAAATTTTATTTGTCGTTGAACCTAGAAGCTACCTACTTGAGTTTTATATATACGGGTGCATGCTAAACTTCAGTAAATCGCATACTGTTATTAACATGTGCTTGGATAACAATTTTGGAAGTACAAGTTAGCATCATCATGTGCTTGTGTGCATGTACATATCAGTAATTATTTGAATGTTTTTGTTAGTAATATTTGATCAGCAGCACTTTCTGGGTGGAAAATACCTACTAAATGGTCGGAGCATCCCACAACACTTGGTAGTCTGTCTATGAGCTGCCATTTCATGCAACTGTTCTAGCTGCATCACCCTCCAATCGCTGAATCAAATTCTGATCGGCTCATTCTTTTATTGCTATATGCACTTGCTGCTGTCTCTAGACCCTGTGCATGTGAGTGTGGCCTGAATTTTGAGATAGAGGATGTCTGATAGTGGTCTGTTGTCATACTCGATAGTGTCTGTTAGAGTGTAGCTTACTCCATGTGAACAAATTCAAGTGGTAAGTTGGATAAAATTGTATTTTTTTCGTTGAAGTAAAATTGCGTTCATCTTTGAGCTTTCTTATGAATGAAATGTTTGTCTTCCTGGTTAAAGGCATTAATCAAGGGATTGTTGCACAAGGTCTCATTTTTTGTCAGGTTCAAGGAGTAACAATCTATTTTCAGCTAGTGCTTCTTCAGTTTTGCATTCTGTAATTTGATAATATACACGAAGCAGAAATTAATCTGGAAATGGGTGGCAAATTAAATCCTTAGGTCGCTGGATCATGTCCTTTCGTCCTTTGTTTCATTGACTGTAACCATAATGATTTTCATATTTGGTGTGTTGAAGTTCAACCAAGAATTCCAGAGGAAGCAGCATCCGAGAACATGTAAAGCAGGATGTAGAAGCTAGCCACGTACCCTTTTTCCTGCTGGGAGGGTTCCCTGCCTTCCCCTTGCTTCTGCCTTCTTTTTTAGCTTGTTGATGTCGATGCTTTTAGAAACTCGGAATTAGTCTTTTAACGATGGGACTTTTATATTGTTGCCCCGTTTGCTATTAGAGTGGCAAGGGGGGCTCTGTAGGTCCCTACATTTATTGCCACTCTTTTAACTTTGTCAACTGAGTTGATTCACTTGCAGTTGATTTTCGTGGGTGGTAGATGGTTCATTTGCTTTAAAATGTTATCGTTGTGCTAATTGCTGTCACGTTGCAACTAAATGTGGTATTGAAAATGCTGGTCTTTGAAGTGGTATCGAAAATTGTATTATTTGCTTTTAGTGGCTTTTCTGGTGAACAACTGTATTGTTATATAATCTATCTACCGTCGGAGAATGATTTCCGTAGAGCTTGACGTCCGTGAGTTTTGTAGATGGCTTTTCTGCTGAAGATTTTGCAAGCGTCCTATGTTTCTGTGCCTTTTATGAGACAAAGCTTGGAGATTGGGCCATATTCAAGAGCTGTATGGCTTGTTCTGAAGATTTTCTTGCCAATTTTGTATCCCGGTTGTTGGGTCCGTGTGGTTGATTCGATGTGAAATTATTCGCAGATGGAGATAGTTGACTTTGATTTGATGGTCTACAAATCAGTCATGGGGGAAAAAGGGAAAAGATACAATTGGCCAGCCACAGTCTCATGTTTGGGAAGGAGACGAGAAAATGGTGAAAAATCCATGAAAGCAACACAAAATCATTTAGACTTATAACCCACCAAATCCTTGATGGAGAAAAATCCTCGAAAAAGACGCGAAATCATTTAGACCTAAAACCCAACCAAAACGAAAGATTTTGGCTTATCCTTGATGAAAATGTTCCACCTGCTCTGAAAATATTGGAACGAAAGTTTTTCTTTCCATATTATTATTGTGACCGAACAGGCATTCTAAGGGTTCGTTTGTTTCGGGTGAAAATGTTTTTCAAGAAAATATTTTTTTAATTTTTCGTGTTTGGTTGCACAAAAGTTACTGAAAACATTTTTCTATGTAAAATATTTTCACTCATCTTATGGAAAACAACTTCTCTTTCAAACTTACTGAAGTTATTTTTCGAAATGCATGCATTCCGCCTGTAGTATATTCCAAACTTACTGAAAATATCTTGTAGTATGTTTTTTTTTTTTTTAGTGTAAACAGAAGGACTCGAACCAAGATCTCTTCCTTACACTCCCTCCCTTGTACCATCCAACCCAACCCTCCCCTAGTATATTCAAAAAAAAAAAAACATCATCCTACTCATCTTATGCTAGTAATTAATTATGTATAATGGGGACATTCTTTTCTAGAGAACTTTCAGCAGTGAGAATGCAAGATATATGTCACAATAAGCATTGCATGTGATTGATATTTGGCACTAAATGGCCAGCAATTTGTTTATTACTTAAGGAGATATTTTTTATTCATATATACATTTCTCTAAGATTTTTAAAGTTAAACAATGAGATAAATTTTTTTATTTTGCATGAGAAGGAGTATGTAGTTATAATGTGCAGAAAGTAAAGATAGAGATAAAAGTGAAATATTTCAAAAGTTAAACAAACACCAGAAAAATGAAGTAGGAAAATATTTTCAATAAGCTAACCAAACACCTGAAAATGATGAAAGGGAAATGATTTTCATGAAAAATTACTTCCACGAAAAATATTTTCCCAAGAAAAATATTTTACTTCCAGCCAAACAGACCCTAAATGAAAGGACTTTTCCTGTCGGGACATTTCGGGTTGGTGTCCTTTACCGCCGCCACAAGGCTGGCACTTGGCACCAAACTGAGGAGATAAAATAATGTCTGACATTCAAGAAGTTCAATTGCTGAACGGAACTAATTATCAACTGGGATTTTTTTAACTTGGATTATTACAAGAAAATCTATCACAAAATGTAGAATTAGAGAAGCAAATCGAGCCCATTCATGTACAGTGCTTTACGAAATTAATAGTAGTACCTTATTTCTTGACCTCAATGTCTCACGCATACATTCATATCCATATAACAACGAAAAGATTTCCTGCACGATCCCACGACTTTGAAACTTGAAATCATTACAGGAAAGTTGCTGCGTATTTGAATACATTACTAAAACACTACTGACTTTTGGCACGGACAGCATATCGCCTGAAATTGAAGCGCCGCCTCCACATCCTTTTTTTTACCTTCGCCACTGGGTTACAAGGCATTAGCTGCTGGTGGTAATTTTGATTTTGTCGATCAGAGATTTGCTATCCAATCCTTTGCTGTAAAAGTTGTCATAGAACTGTTGCAGGTGAAATCTCGATACAAAGCTGGTTTCTCAGGCGACAGCAGCTCCGGCAGGGGACCATATGTGCCGAGTTCTCTCCATTTCGTGAGGTTGAAAAATGTAACGATGGAGAGGCGGTGCTCGTTGGTGGCATTTGCCAACACTCGGTGTTGCACGCTTCTATATTCTCCATTTGAGACTATCTGGTAAAAATCGTGCCGAAAAAGAGTAGGAAGGATATCGCTCGTAAGCTATATCATTTATATGTCCCAAGTGCTTAATAACTCCAGAACATGCACTAATTTGTTGTACATATGGTACAATCGAATCACCTGCAGCTATCTTCTAGTTTTTTTTTTTTTTTCTGTTTAACTTGTCGTACAATAACATATTTTCAAGCGATAAGTTTTGGACATCAACCAGTACTACATTCGTTTTCCTCCCAGTATGCATGACTGACGTACGTGCCTACTATGTGACCTTTTAAACTGTGTACGTATCATCTCTATATACTAACTAGAGGATATCGAGCAGGACGTTTGACTACTGACTTTCTGTGCAGAAATTCTTATTATCAATTAATTTGAAAGAATTTCTTGATTCCCCAGAAAAATATGAATTCTAAATAAGTTAACACTTGTGGGTTTAATCGCTTCTATTCTTTCCTAGTTTATCAGTAAGCGACCCGCATACATTTGCTTATAGAAATTCAAAACCCCACACCACAAAAACACAAAAAAAAAATAATAAAATAAAATAAAACGTTGTGTGAAATATATATATATATATATATATATATTTTTTTTTTTGCTTTATAAAAAAAAGTAGTACAGTACTAGTTTTCTTACCTGAAGAAAATCTCCCATGTTAATTATCAGCCCTCCTGGCAAGGGCTTCACATCAACCCAGGCATCCCCATGCTTCACTTGCAAGCCAGGAACCTGATTCTGCAGCAAAACAGTGATGGTACCAGGATCCGTGTGCGAGGTCATCCCCATGGTTAGATCCGGCTGGGGACAGGGAGGGTATATAATCCCTACAACCGCCCTAGCATCCGAAAATGTCAACTCCTTGAACTTGCCGGCTTCCAATCCCAACCCTAAACTCAACAACTCCATCACTGTATCAGCCACCTTCTTTGCGTGCACGTCCCACTCCACCACCTGCCTCCTACAGACCTCCGGTATGTCCTCCGCTTTCGGGGCTGAGGAGACATCCACAACTGTAGCGAATCATGCCAACATGCAGCTTGCGAACGGTACAGGTCGTTGTTGCTCGCGTACATCACGCCATGGCCTTCTTGATCTCGCTTATAATACTCAGCTTTTTCTTCTCTGGGCTGCTCGTGGAATGCTCTAATGGCAGCGATTGTCTCGTCGAGTACTGAGACAGGGACCCCGTGGTTGACTACATGGAAGAAACCCCAGCTACTTGCGGCTTCACGGATTTGTTCTACGATCCTTGGTCTGTGGAAATCAGAATGAAGGTTTGATAAATCGACGACAGGGATTCCTGTGCTGCAGGATGTTGTAGAAGACTTGAGGTCCGAGAGGGTTTCCGGGGATGTAGAAAGATACTTGGGATGGTGGAGACACCCGAGTCGGATAGACCCTTCACTCCCATTTTGGACTCGTCAAATTCCTTCAGCTGCTCCATTCGGTCACTGCTGGTAGTCGTCACAGCTGCTGCCATGGTAGGTAGATCCTTGCTAATTAAATTAACTTGATTTGTGCTGTTGTGGGGAATTCTGTGGAAGAAATGAAAAGGTCCGGGGGTGGGTTTAATACTTTAATTGCTAAAACTTTCCATTCGGCAATTCATCCTGCGGTCTGCAGTGTGGTACCCACTACGTGTATTAGTGGAAGGCACGTGACAATCAGCAAGTGATTATTCACTATTTTGGCAAAGACATTATTAATATTATTTATTATTGAGGGCGCACCACTATGGCGGCAAATGTCTCGTGTTCACATGTATTATATATATATTTTGGATTGACGAGACCAGAAGATCAATAATAATTCTTCGATATTTTATAACCCCGTCCCGACGATGCCATGTCAATATGTCGTTGTAGGTCGTCGCATCCACCCCCTTCCATTGGCATAGTTTTCTTTTCACTTGTTTAATTGTTCTTCTTTGATAATAGCCATTTTTCTTCTTACTACTACTAGAACTACTGCCACTGTTTTCCACTAATACAACAACTCATATACTCCTCTTTTGCAAATAATAAGGAACGTCACGAGAAATATGAATGAATTCTTCAAACCAAAACACGCGAACAAGGTAAGGTATCCTTGTCGTGCTCCAATGCAAAAAGGATAAACATGTTGGTACTTGAAAATTTAGTTCATCCTAGGCCTATTCATGCTCCAAGCATCTAAAGTCTCAATTTTAACAGCCTCAGTGCCATTATTGAATACGTATAAGTGAGCCTTGTCGGAAACGGCTAAGGTTGGATAAACCTGGATGAAATGCACGTCTTCCCTCTGGCCCCAAAACTCTCTACAACTGAATGATCAATCTGCCAAAACACAACCAAAAAAGAATAAGCAAAAATGATAGAAGAATACCCAGTCTTAGCAAAAATGATCCATCAATCAGCCCGTACCAAACTCCTGAGGGAAAGCTTCTTATCGGTCAAATCTACATCTACAAATCCGGCAAATGAAGGCGTGTACAGCCCATCCATTAAAGAAGAACTGAAACGCAGAGGACGAGACGGAATGAGGTTAGACAAATGAATGAGCGAATAATAATAGTATTACTAATTGGTTTGATGGCGTTGTAACTAAAAGGAAGCGAACCTTCGAGCATCAGAGCACATGAGAACCACATGCTGGTATCCGGCTTTAAAAACTCTGAAGAACACGGAGTGTACTCTTCCAGGTTTCGGAGGCGAGCGTCAGGAGACCAAATGGACCAAGCCCACC